ACAATGGAGACTATAAGTAAACCCTACTGCCTCAGACTCAGCCCCCTGTAGGACAATATGGGATGCCTCGCCGGACGCGGCACTCCTCACGGGCTCGTTCGGCCGTACCTGCATACGAGCGGATTTAAGGCTTAAAAACCCACATCGCCGACCTTTTTAATCAAGGACTTGTGCACTTTAGGGTCTAGGTAGGTTTAGGGCCTAAGGCACCCCTAAACCCTAAACCCTAAAACCCCAAACCCAGAACCGTGGGGCTTCGGTCTTAGGCCTGCGGAGTTTAGGGTTTAGGGTTTAGAGGTTTAGGGTTTGGGGTTTAGGGGTTTAGGGTTTAGGGGTTTATAGGGTTTAGGAGCCTAAACCCTAAACCCCAGGATTGACTAGGGGTTTACACTCTCGGCGAAGCTTTCTTGCTCCGGGCTTTCGGTGTTCAGGGCAGCATTGCCCAGATCGGGGTTACGTGTTTTTTTAGAGAAAGCTACGCGACTTTTTGTTGTGCAGAGGAGGCGAGCTGCACAAATGCCAGGTCTTACATAGACCCGGATGGGGTTATAGACCCAGGATATTCTGATGGAACTGAGAGAACGCAAGGAACCAACGTCGAGAGCAAAACAGCACCAAAGAAGTCTCCGACATGTCTCCAAGCATACTCCCCAAAACACAAGCCTGCAAGGCTAAAAAATCCTACATTCGAACACCTAAATGTTGGGTAGTTTAGACACTATCTGAAAGAACCTTACCTTGTCGTCAAATGAGCAACGATGCCTTCAAAACACCCTTCGAAATCAGGACCCTGCGTTGAACCACTAACCCTAAAGCCCAAAGCCCTAAACCGCAAAACCCCTCAAACCCTGAATCCCTGAACCCCTACAAACTCAAAACCTCTAAAAGCACCCAAACCCCAAACAAGCCATACTACCATTATAACAAGGAGACGCCAAAATAGTACTGGTAGTTATTTAGGCCCCTGCACTAAACCCCAAACCCTAAACCCTTAAACTCCCCAAAACACCTAAAAACCTAAACCCTACACACCTTAAGCCCCTCAACCCTCAACCCTAAACCCTACACACCCTAAACCCCTAAATCCTCAACCCTAAACCCCTAAACCCTAAACCCCAATCACC